GATTCATTCTCCATTTAAAAAAAGAGAGAAGAAAAAATAATAATAGGAGAGGAAATATTGAGGCACCGAAATCGAGATGAGCGGTTTGGAAATGTTACCGTCGATTTGTAAGTCTGAGCGGGAGTTGCGTAGAGAAACGCGAGGGTTTAAAACTGGCATCGAAGCTGAATCCAAATTTAAGCGTCAAACAAACCTTTTGAAATTGAACTCATGCTCAGCGGCGAATCCTACCGTGACAAGGTTGCGATACTTATCTCGCAATAAATTCAACGATAGATACGTTGTGCAATGCCAAACTACCACTCCTGGCTCACCTTTTCAAGCATTCATCTGCATTGAGAAACTAATGCCACTCACAATGTTTCTTAAATGAGACGTTATTTTATCCTGTGATCTGATCCACAGAGAGCTCTTGCGAGCTTTTTTCTGGTTAAGTTTTCTTTCTGCTGCGCGGCGACGGCGGCGGCGGCGGCGGCGGACGGCTATCAGTTACAAAGGAACGCGGATCAAAGGCACCGAGTAAAAATCCTCAACTTTCCGGGGAGTTAACAGTCTTACAGCTTTCATCACTGGGTGTTTCCCGCCAATCGTATTCCGGACGCAGGAATCTCAACAGTATAATACCGCCCCAGTGTAATTTACGCCCAATAAGTTGACGCGCTCTTAAACTAAGATCCGCCATCTTGATTCTTTCATTTACTTTCAATCCTTAAACTTAAAATAGCTCATCTTCGGAGGTACTCTAACAACGCCTAAAATTATTTGGCGTGGACATCAGCGAAAAATGGACGCATTTATGCTGAACGGAACCAGAACAGGTGGGAAAAGGGTTTTTAAAAACCGGATATTCGTGATAGTTTATGTTCGGATACCTGAATAGAGATGAGTATGGACATGTTAAAATATTGCGTTTCCGGGCCAAAAGAGTAGCCAATCTTCCTAGGAGTAATAACACTGGAAAAATGTCGTTGGCAACCTTCAAGTCAATCCGGCCGACAATATCTATACTATAAGCTCCGAGACCTCCTAATTTTGCATAACTGGTAACGCTTAGTTCCAGCGTTCCACGAGGCCGATTTTCATGATTTTTGCGGCTATCGACGGGCAATTGTCTCTAGATGAGCCTGCTCTATTCAGATTTGCAAAATATGACCCAGCTTTTTTTATATTACGTGGTAAAGTTGCGAATTCTCCCATTTAAACAATGTAAATTTATATTTTTTGCCATAGTTCGTTTGAGCGTTTTACTGGGCCGATGTCCATGATTTTTGCGATAATCGACAGGTAATAGGCCCTACATGAGTTTACTGTAATCAGATTTTGGAAATATGCATGACCCAGGTTTTTTTATAGAAGAAAAGACCAGAAAGCTTAAACAGGTGGGCAATATTTGAAATTGCCGCCAATAAAAAAATGGCGGGAATTTCAAATTTAGCGGAAAATTGAACTAAGCGGGAAATTTTGAATCTTGGTCTGTTAGTAGGGTAAAGTAGGTGAGTGGAAGGTATGCTCCTTTGGCACAGACTATCCAAGAGCAATGAAACGCTTTGTTCCGTTTCTTTTCAGTCTTTGCGAGAAGCTTGAAATAAATGCCGATTTTTTTATTCGATTCGTATTGGTTCAATCGCTTCCGGCAAGAGGGAGATTGGACAAATGAGAGTCGAGTATGAAAATCTTTTCATTTTTTTGGTCGTTCTTTTGTCAAAGCAAGTCTGATAGAGCGCAAAGCGCCCTCTGGGGGTTGGGCCGCGTAGCGGCTAGGGGGCATACCCCCTAGTTTCATATAATGCATCCTTCCGCAAAACTGAGGAAACTTACGCAAATCTTGAACGACGTGGTGGTAATTATTGTAATAATGTATTAATGAATAATACTGAATATTTTGAGCTCATAGGTAGGCTGCCCTTTTGGGCCCTAAGAGCTCCGCGAAATCATCAAACTTAATCTTCAAAATTACTATCAGGTCTATACATTTCCTAACCAGGTACTCATTTTTGGGTCTTATGTAGAAGGGCCCCAACACAGCACTTTTGTCGAGCAACTTTTGAAACACCCAATGGGTGCTCTGATTTCTGTCTCTGCCTGCTGATTGTTTTTAGTTTGGCAGGTTAGGTCAAGTTAGGTTGATATGTTTTGTTTTGGTTTGAATTGCCCCCCCCCCCTTCACCTCTTTGTGTTCTGTTCATGGATCACATTCGGCAACCTAGCTTCGCCATGCAGGGTGGCTCGAAAGTTGTTCGACAAAAATGCTGCAGTGAGGCTCTCCTAACGTGCTGAGAAGGAACGCCGTGCGAACCTTTAGGTGTTCCTCCAGTGCAAAACTAATTCACTGGGAAAATTGAGAATAGTTTTTTTTTTCAAATTTTTTGGACAGTTTTGTTTGTAATTTAATCTGGAATATCTGAAAATCTGAAGGACGCAAGTATGCATAACTTTCCTCACAAATACATGTATTATCCGGAGCAACTCGGCAACTCTCGAAAGTTCATACGGCGTTTTTCCTTAGCACAGCAGAGAAGCCCCTATTTTTTTATTTTCATTTTTTTTTTTCATTTTTTTGAAAATTTGTTTTAAAATCTACAGCTTCCTACAGAAGTATTCATGAGTTTATGTATATTTTTTGGAACCATCGCTAACCGATAGGCTGAACACCGCAAGAATGACGTGGGCATTGAATGAGTCTATGTTCGGTACGGCAAATATATACATCGATTTTGCTATTCAGCGATCTTTCATGAAACTCTCCGAAGTGGCATTTTTCCCGTTTACCGACGTTCAAATGCCGAGGAGAATTCAATTCTACTAAATTCGTCAACGGTGGCTAACTCGTCCACAACCCCTCCCCCGCACCACCATAGTAACGCTGTGTTTACCCTCTTTCCGAGACATCTCTCAAAGGGCTTGAGGTTGGAAACTGGAAAGTCGTTTTACGCCTCCGCATGTTTACACAGGGTCGAATTCCTACCTTCCAAAATAGCTCTGCACGTTACAGTAAATATGAGCGATACACTCAGAAAAAGTGCGTCAAAGATAAAATAAGAGGAAAATATTATAGGTTAAATTTGGTCAAGAAAGAGCAAACATGATATTTCAATGACCTCTCTAAGAAAGGCTTAGCTATACTATTTAAAATATTGATGTGCGGATGTACGAAACTTTAAAGGAAAAATTGTCTTGTAAAAAAGATTTTCATTTTTTTTTAGAACGGAAAACAATTACTTTTATTTTGAGACATTTCTTTGGCCTGACAATTATTTTTTTAATTGGTTGGAAAAAAATTGCTCGTGAGATAATTAGTTTCATTTAGGAATTTCAGGATTTCTTTGAAACGTGGTTAACTTCAAATTTCACTCGTTCACTGAAAAAATGGTATGCTGTTTTAGCACCTAGGATGTCAAAAATGTGTCTGGTGATCCTGAGATGCTGCCTCGATTGCCCACGCAGTTGAATTTGCATTCATAGGATGTAAAGTTAACTACGGGGGCAGCAAAGGCAGCATCTTGGGATCACCAGACACATTTTTGACATCCTAGGTGCTAAAACAGCATATTATTTTTTTAAGTGTTGAAACGTCATTGGTTAAAATGAAATCCGGCGGAAGGCGCTGATTATACCAACATTCGACAGCACATCGCCGGTGAAACTGCAAAAATGCGAATTCCGGTTGAGGTGTTTCAATATCTGCTACTATTTTATTTTTTAAAAGGAAAAATAACTTAGATCATCGCTTGAAGTTTTCACAAAATATTCTTTATAAAGAGAAGAAATAACACTGAAATTTTCAAAAATGACGTTCAGTAGTTTTCCATGTATAAAATAAAGAATGACGGGAAGTCTGCAACGCCGCAAACTGAGATACCATCCGGATACCGAGATGCATTTCACCATCGATATTTACAGGAACAACGCGTGCGTCACTATGCAGCATCACGCATTTAAAAAAAGTCTGCGTCACCCAAAAACACGTTTTCCAGTGCATTTTGTCAGTCGAATGGTAACTCGATAGATTTCGATGTTTACTCAAGCAAACTACGAGTTTTTGAACCTAAAAACCATCAAGTGAACGTGCCAGAGGAGGAGGGGTGCATAAGACGCGTTTACTCTTGTTGGACACATTTTTTGTGAAAGCCCTGTCAACACTACCAGAAGTTCACGGAACTTTGCGCGAAAATTAAGTTCCGTAAACCTATCTCTGTGTGGACGAGGCCTTTCATTTATAAGAAAAGAACGAAAAAATTATGAAAGAATAAACATGAATGTGGTTTAAAGATTTTGATTTCGGCCACCGCGCCAACCGCACAATGTTTGGCGCAAAGCGTGAAGTATCCCTACAGTCTTGTAGGCGCTATGTGTTTCACTCCGACCGCTGCTGACTGCACTACGTTTGACGCAATGCGTGAAGTATTCATGGAGTCTTGTAGGCGCTAATATGTGTTACATGCCGACCGCCGCGCCGAGGGCTCCTCCTTTCCATCTCAAGTCCTCGTCATCGTTGCTCTCCGCGTTGCGCCACTCTAGGCCAAATTGCGTGTTTGGTTTCTCTCTCAACTTCTGTCTCTTGTACCACCGAAAGACAAATTAGACACCAAAAACAAACAAATTAGACATTACTATACTTTAACTCTCAGGAAATGGGAGATGTTTTTGCCTTCTCTCGTTTATAATCTTTTTTTCTGAATCAGATTTTTTTCTTGACACCTACATTTGAAAAAGTTACAACATTTGCTGCCCCCTAAATTTGCCGCCATGGGCCGCAGCCCTTGTGGCCACCCCCTAAATTCAGCCCTGCTCTAGAGGGCATGTATGCAATGCGCATTCCCATGGAAGTTAAAATAATGGTATTATCAATCTAGTTGTAAAATACTTGATTCTCCAACTGTATCTCGGTCTTGTCGAGTAAGGTAATTTTAAGGTCTAGATACGAAACGGTGGGAACATTGTAATATTGAGGGCAAGGACCCAACTTACACGGATGGTTTTGTTGATGACATGGAGCTTACCTTTTTTTATGACAGGGGTGAGATTTTAAGCCGGTCCCAAGTGTATCGTCTTGTTGTTAAAAAATCCTGAAAAAGATACAGAAGTTTATGTAAGTCCATTTCCAATGTAGGTTTTTTACTACCTAACAATTTTTTTTTTACCATAATAATTAATGTCAAAAACTAAAACAGATATTCAGATTCAACAAATGCCGTGTAATAAAAGAAGCGTGTGGATGTGGTTGAACGAGAAAACACAAGTAAAAATGTTTGTTGGTTCGAAACCAAAAAACAAAAATGGGATAAAGGATTTCATTGAAACACCGCTTAAGATGTGACCAAGAAGTGCGATGTCTGCTGCTCTATCCAAGTATTCAATACTTGGCAAGTTGGCCAATTATAAGTCTTCCAATTTTAAAGTTCACTATTCCGTGACGGATGTAATGACCTCAAATCAAGGATTGAACTTTGATATTATTTTTTCAAATGACTTGATAAATAAAATATAAATATTGCAGCATTATTCCAATAATGGTACACCCTAGTAGCAGAGTTATATAAAAAATTTGTTTTTAAAAGTATAAACCGTAAATAACCACAAGCTAAAGAATATTCATTGTTTATGTAATGGATGTAAAGTTTTTTAGTTAAAAGTTTACTAAAAAACTTATTTTATTATGTAACCCTTAGTATAAAAGTTATATAACCAAATTCAAAGAGTGTATAAAATGAATTTTCATTATTCTTCCTGGCTGGTAGCGCACTCTAGTTATGAAGTGTGCAAGTTTTCATATGCGTTACT